TGCTTTTCCAATACTTTCCACAGCCCAGGTTAAGAAGTGATTATTTTTGTTCTCAGAATTACACAGCCAACTTTTGAGGAACTGAAGAAACAAAAACAGAGTCAGTGTAAATGTATTCTAATGCAAGTCCATTCGGCACAATTACGTGTGGTATCAGATGACTATATTTTCAGATAAATATCAAATGAATTTTGGCAATCAGTGGGGTGAAGGATGACGCAGCCAGATTGTCCTCACGTGCATTCAGATAAATATATTTATTTTGAAACTTTCTGAAATGTTTTAAGTTAAATATGCAGCTTATAATATTCAGCTTAAAATTGTTGGCTACATATTTGCATATGACACCAAACTGGCAGGAATAGCCAACACTCCAAAAGATAGGCTTAAGATACAGAAGGATCTTGACAGACTTGAACATTGGGTGCTAACTAACAAAATGAAATTCAATGGTGAAAAAAGTAACGTTCTACATTTAGGCAAGAAAAACCAAATGCACAGGTATAGTATAGGTGGTACCTTGCTCAATAGTAGTAACTGTGAGAGAAATCTTGGAGTCCTAGTGGACAATCACTTAAATATGAGCCAGCAGCTGCCAAAAAAGCCAACACAATGCTAGGCTGCATTAACAGAGAGATAGAATCAAGATCACGTGAAGTGTTAATACCACTTTAAGACGCCTTGGTAAGGCCACATATCCAGTTTTGGTCACCACAATGTAAAAAAGATGTTGAGACTCTAGAAAGAGTACAGAGAAGAGTAACAAAGATGATTAGGGCACTGGAGGCTAAAACATATAAGGAACGGTTGCTGGAATTGGATATGTCTAGTTTAATGAAGAGAAGGACTAGAGGGGGAGGGACATGATAACAGTGTTCCAATATCTCAGGGATTGCCACAAAGAAGGAGTCAAGCTATTCTCCAAAGCAACTGAAGGCAAGACAAGAAGCAATAGATGGAAATTAACCAAAGAGAGAAGCAACCTAGAACTAAGCAGAAATTTCCTGACAGTTAGAACAATTGATCAGTGGAACAATCTGCCTCCAGAAGCTGTGAATGCTCCAACACTGCAAGATTTTAAGAAGAGACTGGACAGCCATTTGTTTGAAATGGTATAAGGTTTCCTGTCTGAGCAGGGGGTTGCACTAGATGACTTCCAATGTCCCTTCCAACTTATTATTATTGTTATTATTGTTGTAGTTATTGTTATTATATTATATTACATTATATTATATTTTTATTAAATGCAGTAGAAATATAATCTTTATGAATTTACATATATCACAATCCATATAGGCTGCCCACCTCAAGCCTAAAATAATATTTGAGAATGATTAGCTAGTTTTGAATTGAACCAGCTTTCCTAATGCTGGACAGGGACATCCCAGAATGAATGTGATTAAGGAAAAGACCTTGTTTTTTTTCCTTCAGTGTCAAGCTGAGCTTATCAGCAGTCATCTCCCAAAGGCAACTTCCTATCAGGGTTCTCTGATAACTCAGTAGTAGAAGCCCCTGTTGAGAATGCACAAATGTTTCTCTGTTATCAGTAAAAATAGCACAGTGAAGACTTGATTCAGACAAAGGATTCCCCCAGCCAAAACACTGGAGAACGGGAAGCTCCAGTAATGTCATTATCGGATCATGGAGAAGAAGACATGAACCAACCCTACTTTAGAAAAAGCCTTAATAATGTATAAGCAGTTCATTAAAATAAGGTAGAACTAAGGGGCAGCCGAATGAAACTGTCCATTGGAGTGATTCACAAGGAGTATCCTCTCTGATTACTAGGTCACTTCTGAGAAAAATACCATATTGTCATTCAAGAATGGAATATGCTACAACAGTAAGTGGCAATTACAAACAGCAGTGATTTATTGAGATGAATCAGTCTATATGAAATTATCTTGAGGAGAGCATATGCTACTTTCCTCCCATAAGGCCTTATCCTACAGACTAATTAGGATCAGAACATACGTATGTGATGGCTTGATTGTTTAGAAAATGTATTTCCTGTTTTTCATTATAATCAAGGGATACCAAGTGGAATGGTGTAAGAGCAGAAACTAGCAAGATTTCATTGGAGTACAGTAGTTATCTCTAATTTTTAAGACCAGAAAAAGAATGCTCAAAGTCTGTTGACTCAAAAAATCAGGATAGAAAGATAGAAGTTAAACACTTAGACATTTATACCCAGGGTTTAATTTTTGTGTTCATTAGTAGCAGATCTTCTGCACTTATATAACATTTTATCTACAATAAAACAATTTATTTAGCCATGCTGTATCTGTGAAACTTCTGCTATAAGACTCTGAATATGAGGTTGACTACCTGATGTGTAAAAATGTATTGCCTTGCTGGTTTGAAGCCTTGCAAATGACAGCACATAAAACCTTGAGTTTACTGGGTTTAGCTCGAGCAGCCCTCAGCTGCAAAAGACAAAATCCACTACTTTATATTGAATATGTACATGAAAAATATGCATGTGTAAGACCCTATTTGGGTATAATGGGCATTTAGGTCTAATTGGCATCCATTACCCTCATCACTTCATTAAGTAAAAGATACACTATCCTGGGGCTTTCAAGGTATATTCATATTGTATCAATTATTTTCACATCATGATACCGCATAATGTATTGTTGGCTTAGTGCAATGTACGATTTGTATGTTATGATTTATGGATTAGTATGTTAGATATATGGATTGATGAATTAGTATATTTATGGATTAGTAGGTATAGTATGTTGGCAATAAAAACTTCTCACTTGTCCATCAAAACACAATTAAAGTCAGCCTTAGTCTATTACGATATATGAACCTAGTCAATAGGTCAATTATGCTGATAGATTATGCAATTTCATTTACCATGAATGGGACATAGCCATAAAGCATAAAAAAAAGTACAATTGTCACTTAGAGAGAGCCACTAAGAGAGGTCTTTTACCTCTAAAAAGCTACTATTTAGGCTAAGCTTATATATGGGTATCTGAATTACCCCAAGCTGACGACTTTCTATTATTATGAACTAAAAATTCTAGAGTTCCAGTAAAATGCTAATTGACCTTGGATTTGAAATCTCATATATCTGGGCCAGTCGTTTGTGAATGTCTAGAACAGACTGTCCTTTTCATCTGTATGTACAATATATATATATTTTATGACAAAGATGTTAACAGGAAGTTTCTAATTATTTGTCCAGTTAAGAAACAACGTACTGATTTTTTGCCAACTCTGAAATATTTTCTGATATTGTTGAAACTTAAAAATGAGTTTTCTATCAAAAAAACCCAAAAAACCCTGACATTTCAGAAAAGAAATCAAACTGTCTTGATAGTGAGGTCATGCTAAAATAAGATGGTTTATGTTAGGATATCAACTAAACAGGAATTCTTGCTCTTATTTGTTAATGGAAGGAAAAGTGACAACATGGCTTCTGCAATATTACAGGATAAAGCTAGATTAATCCTAAAAAAATTAAAAAGTACTAAAGGTTTCATAAGATTGGAAACTGTCTAAGATTTTTTAAGTCTTCACATGAAACCTTTCAAGATATTAACATTTTAAACTCTTTTATTTACAAAAAATATGCATGGGAAAAGGTTGAGGGTTTTTAAAGTTTAAATTTCTTGATGCCTTCAACGCGATACAAAAGAAACCAAATTCAACAGTTTTTTAAGCTGCTAATGCTGCCACCCAATTGTTAGACTATTAATGCTTTACAAAAATAAAAAAACATAAAGTAGTTCTTAATGATCATGTTTATCCAATCTTTTTATTTTTAGGATTTTTTTTTCTATTGCTTTTAAGAGTAGTATCAACCAGTAATAACAATCACAAAGTAATACTGATCTGTGTATGAGTATAAAAAAATGGAGAGAAAGAGATTTACGTAGATATATTCTTTGTTTTCACTTTCTCTCTGTATGTATGCATTCCTGTATATGTGTGTGTGATTTCTTTGCATCCCATTGTTCTTTCTAGTTCACTGGCAGTGTTTCTCAACCTTGACAATTTTAAGGCATGTGGACTTCAACTCCCAGAATTCCACAGCCAGCATTGCTGGCTGTGGAATTCTGGGAGTTGAAGTCCACATGCCTTAAAATTGTCAAGGTTGAGAAACACTGAGTTAAAGTGTCTCCTCCCAACTGGTTTTCTAAAACAATGATAATTGTCCAAAGAGTATTGTCAGCAGAACCTCAGCTTCAGCTTCTCTTATGAGAGGACCATTTAGCAACCCCAGCTGAAGCCTTTTATGGCTATACTTTATCTGTAAGGCAATGCTGATACATCATATCAGACAATAGCGAAATAACATGGAACATTTTCATTACAGCAAAATATATTGAGTTTCACTTTCAAAATAAAACATTAATCTCACTGGCATCTCCCATTACTGAATGAACAGGACATGAAAAAAAACAATAACAAACAAACTTCAGATGTCATACATCGCTGTTTCGTCCTTCATAGTCCAATGCTCCACATCTCTGTTTCAGGACATTTCCAAAAGGATGGAGATTTCCTTTTCCAGATGTTCTTAAAAAGTATTTCTTAAATTACAACCATCGCTAAGTATTTATATGAAGTCTCTACTTCTGTCTGCATGTGAGACAGCAGAGAAATGGGGCAAATTCCCTGAACTGGTGGCAATGTTTCCTGTGAAACATAAGATCCAATGCATGTGGGAAGTCTGCCATATCAGAAGACAACAATTCTACTATACACTGAAGTAGCTTCTCTAAATGCAAGTGTTCCAGAGAGGGCTCAAGAGAGAATATAAAGGCAGCACCTTTGCAGAAAGACATCTGAGGATAAACTTGCCAAAAGAAAACTTTTGGGTTTCATTTCCTGGTGAAGTGAGCTGTTTCTTTCCAAAGGGTTAGCCTTAGTCCATCAACTGCATGAGAGCAGCTGGCTAACACTGGCTATGATATAAGATCTCAGTTCACAAGATGAAACATATAAATCTCTGAATGTACCCTATGAAAGTATTTATTTCTTTAAGACTTCATGACTTTGCTTCTGTTTTCCCAGTCCATTAAGACAACTCTTCTATAGCAACATCAAACCACAAGGGACATCCTTGTTGGGAATTCATTCTGAGAAAAACAAGAAAAGAGAAGCAAAAATTATAAAATATAAAACCAATCAGCAAAGATGGGGTTAACGTATCAATGTTTTAGGTCCCCCTCCCCCAAAAAACAGAAAATGAAAAGGATTTCTGCCATATTCTATCCCTAATATACACCCACGTAGCCCTCCAATTGAAAATAATGGAAAAAAATAGAATGGTTTCAATTTATATTCCTCTTTTTTAGAGTTAAAAATCTCCCATGTACAGTCTATCAAAGGAGCTCTATTTTTTTGCCCGTCTCCTTTGAAATAATGATCACCTAGCAATACAATAATCAGGACCATGGAATAATGTATAGTCAAGTGATTATTCTTTCAGACAAAAAGAAGAAAGACTTCACTTCAAGAGCAAGGGGCCTTTATAAGATATAAAGAAAGAAAGAAAACGAAAGGAAAGCTCTTGATTTACTTTTGTATGTTAAGGCAATTTCCCTTTCTTCTTTTTTCTTCTACTCCATGTGAAAGAAGCAAAAAATCAGTGTGCTTCTTTTCACATGGAACACACAATTCAATGAAATCAAGGATTCAGCCTTCCTTTAAAAAAAAAAAAGCTAATTTTGGTTAGAATTTTTTTTTTTTTTATCTATCCCTGCAAAGAGAGAGAAGACACAACAAGGAACAGAACAAAGTGGCCATTTGGCATCTATTTTCAGGCCAAGACACCATTCTGTAAGTCAGTTCCAAATGATCTGGAAGCTTTGCATGTGCTAATTGTAATCAATAAGGATGTTTTCATTGATTTGTTTAATGATTTATTATGTAAAATCATGAAAAGAAAGGTGGCTAGGATTCAATTATTTATTCATTCATAGGAACCTTTAAAAACATGCTTGTGGACAGTTGTCCTCATTCCTTTAATCTGTTTTCTCATAAGCACAACCTGTAGTTTTTATTTAATATAGGTAGTCCTCATTCAGTGACCACAGTTAGGACTTGTGACTCAAGCAGGAAGTGAAAAATAATGCGACTGTTTTTTATATTATTACTTCCGGGTGTTTTTTTTATGCTTTACAACTTCAGAAAGATACAAATGCTTAAATAGCCACTTTTCGCCACTCTGTTATCTTAGAATGCTCTCCCCAACACTGGGATAATTAGCAAGAACGGAATAGATATTAGCATTTACATTCAATAGGGAGGAAGGGAATACAAGAGACACATAATGCACTACATCAAAAGGAAGACAGTAGACCCAGCTGTTTGCTTAGCATACTCCCAGGAGCTGTTCAGGAGGCAAACAAACGACTTTAGTGTGAAACTGATTTGGGTCTTGTCAATTTCAGGCAGTAGCTGTGAGTTGCATGGTTCTATCAACTAATAAAGATCACAGAGCTGAGCCTGTTCACTTGTGGTTAGCATTTTTGAGCGATGCACTGCGCTGTGGTGAAAAGTTTGGCTAGCCCAGTGTTTCTCAACCTTGACAATTTTAAGGCATGTGGACTTCAACTCCCAGAATTCCACAGCCAGCATTGCTGGCTGTGGAATTCTGGGAGTTGAAGTCCACATGCCTTAAAATTGTCAAGGTTGAGAAACACTGGGCTAGGCAATTATTCTGCTCTGTGAGTAGGGGAGGGGAGGAGTACTAACTGACTATAATGGCAAACATGTGACTGAGAAACAGATGCTGTAAAGATCATAAATTGTGATCATATTGATCACAAAGTTACTTTTTCATCACAGTTTAAATGTGAATGGTGGCTGCCCAAGGCAGTCACTAATAAGGATTACCTGTATACTCAGACTTTTAATGTATGCACTTTCATGATTTACTCTTCACAAGTCTGGTTCGTCACGGGGTGTCAATGGAAACCAATAAAATCTCACAAGCAGGAGAACCATCTGAGCAGACTCTAGTTAGTACAAAATCCTTTTCTTTTTGCTATCATTCTTGTTCAATGGATAAGTACACATTGTAAATTCATTTTATAACAACTCTTTCAACTACCCAGAAATAAATTAATATGACTTTCAAGTGTGGCCTAATTTAAATTCTTTAACTTATAGGTGTCAATTAATAAGCAGTGATCTTTTTACTGATGAAATTACAATGACATTAAGGCAATTCCTACTGAATTTATGGCTTACCCTTCTACCCATGATATACCCTTGATGAATTCATATTTTGCTTCACTCATATTTTCTCCTAATCTGTGAGACTAAATTTTGCACTATCCTTTTCATCGGCCACATTTTGAAATGCATCTTTGAGGTGTAAAAACAATATTCCCTGGGGTAAAGACAAAGTAGTGATTTTTTTTTTGCCAACTGCAATTTTAACATTAAATCCAGAGTACACAATGTCTCTGAATTCTTCTATCAAAGTGCAATAAGCATTCCGCCCATTTAGCCCTGGCGCAAGGGTATCAGATATTGTTGCCTCACTGTTTTGGGGGGCTCTTTTTTCCTCTTCTTCTCTGATGAATTGAAGTTAGGTTGTTCTCTGTTTTTGTATGAAAAACCCCGGCTCAATTCCCTCTCGCTGTAAGGTGGCAGAGTATCTTCTCCTTCCTCTTGCTGTGGAGGTTGTTGCTGCTGCTGTTCTGCTTTGTAAGTTGATGGTGGTGACCAAGCATAGTAAGATCCTCCCCTTTGGCTGGAATGTGAGCTGAGCTTTGAAGGCGTCTCACTATGCTCACCATTCTCATCATAGCTGCGAGATTTCCTTTCAAGGGCACTAGTGAGGTAGGAGTGATCATACTTCTGACTTCCTCCAGGTGTCCGACACATTAGCCTAGGCAGGTGTTTCTCTTCATGCATACGTCTCCTGGGTGGGCTGTATCGCCATTCCCGGTCTGGATCTGTTACTGGTTCAGGGTTTCCTCCCCTGCGTTTGCTATAGAAATCATCTGAATTCTCCAGATGTTGTATTGGTCCCCTCCTTGATCCTGTCCTCTCAAAGTGCCGTGGCTCCTGACTCGCCTCAGTCCGATGGACCTGTTGACTGTAAGATTCAGCAAAAGCTGCTAATTCATCCATGGAGACAGCTGGCACTCCGAAAGAAAAATTCTTTCTTGAGAGCATTTCTGACTTTGATCTCTGCTGGCTGGGTAAGAGATAAAAGAGATGCTTTGAATTTTTGGCTTAATTTTTTTTGATTAATTAGTAACCTACTTGTCTGTTCAGCCAATCTAAGTAATTCCCAGAGGAACATTTGAAATATTATAGCAGTCCTGTACTTGTACTGGCAGCACCCAAGTGAGCAGTAGAAAATTCTTTTTTTAATACTGATTGCCCTATTTCTAGAACAGAGGAAACTATATACCTAAACAAAGTCAAAACTTTTTATCCCTATAGTTTTCTATATCCAGGTTACCTGAAAAAGTTATTCTCCAAAGACCTCCAGTAAAAGGTCTTTCCTACCACATGCTCCTTTCAATTGGATTTGCAGCTATTGAATCTGGACTCTTTGCCAAGCAAATCATCTGTTGTGCTGTTGAGCTATAGCTAATAGAGTTACAATAAGGGTAATCCACAGGCATGACTCCACAATATACCTTTTAACCTCAGTACAAATGATTCAGACTTAATCTCACAGAGTTCATTCATCTTATTGATCGGATAGGAATAATCAACTAAGGGAATAATACCCCAAATATGTCATTTCTGACATCTCATCTTTCCTCTAAGTTGAGATAGCATGTGTTGGGGAAATCCTGGCTTGGTAATAGTACAGATGACGAAAGTCTTGACACAGTAGTTGGTTGCAAGCTAAACGAAACAGCAATATAATATTTTGGGAGAAGAAAAAGAAAGAAAGAGGGAGTTGTATTTTATTTTGTGTCAATCACTTCAAATATTGCTCTATTTCTGGGCATAAAGAAAGTGAAGAAGATCTGTACTATACTACCTCTCTACTATGTATTATAGAGTGTAATACATCTTATAAATATGTATTATTTTAAAGGAACCCCAAATATGATTTGTTGAATGTAATACAGTGCCTAATCTACACTATCCAGATGGTTGACATACAATATGGCGCCCTAAACAGGCTGTGCTTGGATGTTAGATGTTTTATGTCAGGGCTTTTCAACCGGTGGTGCGCGTACCACCAGTGGTACTTTAGCACCTGATAGGTGGTACGTGACCCCTAGCCAAGTGTAGTGGGGCAGGGAACCAGCTAAAGCAGCGCTGCACAGACCTAGAGGACATCAGCTGGAACTGCAGAGCTAAGCAGAAGCCCTAGGTTCGGCGCACATGGCGACCTGGTAATTAGAGCTTCGGGCGCACCCAGAAAAGAAAAGGAGGAGGGCAGACAGAAGAGAGTATAAAAGGGGCAGATTTTGGCAGGAGAGGGAGAGAAAGAGTGAGAAGAGAAGAGGCTTTTCTTACCAAAGCAGTGAGGAGAGACAGAGCGAGCGGCCTGTTTTCGGGTGAAGGGTGAGTGAGCGAACGGCCTGTTTAGCAAGTGGCATGTTTTTGGGCGAAATGTGAATGAGCGAGTGGCCTGTTTAGCGAGCTGTGTGTTTTCAGGGGAAGGGCACGTGAGTGAGTGGCATGTTTAGCGAGCGGCGTGTTTTCGGGGAAAGGGCACATGAGCGAGCGACCTGTTTTGGGGGGAGGGGTGAGCAAGTGAGCTGGGCAGGAGCCCCAGGATTGGCGTGCGCTTCTGCAGGGGTATAGGGGCTCAGCAGGATCGATGCATGCAGCTATAGCTGATCAGTGCTTCTGCTAAGCCCCCCAGAAGCGCCGATCACCTGGACCCCGGTGCTGATCTTGGCATTTCTGCTGAGCCCTGACAGCCCTGCAGAAGCGCCAATCAGCTGTCAGGGCTCAGCAGAAACGCCAAGATCAGCACTGGGGTCCAGCTGATCGGCGCTTCTGGGGGGCTTAGCAGATCAGCACAGGCAGGCAGGCAGGCAGGCAGGCAGGCAGGCAGGCAGGCAGGAAGGAAGGAAGGAAGGAAGGAAGGAAGGAAGGAAGGAAGGAAGATGGGAATGAGGAGGGAGGGAGGGAGGGAGGGAGGGAGGGAAAAAGGAAGGAAGGAAACCCCTCCCCCACGGTAACCACAATGCTAATGCGGGCCTCAATGAAATTGAGTTTGACACCCCTAATATAAAAGGTTAAGTGAATCTGGTTTCCCCATTGGCTTGTCAAAAGGTTGCAAAAAGGGATCACATGACCTTGAGACACTGCAGCCATCATAAATATGAATCAGTTGCCAAGCATCCGAATGTAAATCACATGACCCTGGAAATGCTGAAACATTTGTGTGAAAAATGGTCATAAGTCACTTTTTTCAGTGCCGTTGTAACTTCAAACAGCCACTAAGCGAACTGTTGTAAGTCGAGGAGTACCTGTACTTTATCGCTTTTTTCCTTTTTGTGTGTGTGCCATATCCTAAAAGTGGTACAATGGGTGAAAAGGTTGAAAAGCCCTGTTTTATACTGTCTGACAATGTCCAAAAGATAAAGCTTCTACAATACATTGTTCAGATAAGACAATGCCCTTTTATTGTGCTTTAACTATACAAAACTAGCTTTGTAACTTAGCTTATTTATTGTTAAATGTATAACCCACCTTTATTTTGTACAACTCAAGATAGTATACATAATGTTCATTCCTCACAACAACAACAGTGTTAGGCTATTGGGCTGAGGGAGTGATTGGCATGAAGTCATCCAGCTAGCTTTTATGCCTAAGGGAGGACCAACAATCACAATCTCCCAGTTTCTAATCCAGCATTCTAACCACTACATCAAACTGGCTTTCCTTACATTTATCATATCCAGTGCAGGATATCAGATCTTTTAAATGCCTTATGTTCATATTTGCTATTCATCCATATAAATCAGGAAAGTAAAAATACTGAAAAGCAATAGTCTTCCGTTTCCACTTTCCACCACTGAACTCACCTCATTCTGAAGCTTCCTCTGTCTTCCCTGTAATCAGAACGTGTTTGTGGCCTGGATATACCACTTCCACTAACAGCCCCTGTCCAGTACTCAGCATCACCACTCTTGTCTCCTGAAGGAGGAAGTGCTTTCCTGCACACCTGACGGTAAGACTGGCGGAAGTTGGCACCCCCATCATGTAAAGAACTGAGCTCTGAGATGGTGTTACTGTCTGGAATGAAAGATAGTAGTTATTGGGAAACTGTTAGAGAAGATAAAATTTTTGAGATGCTCATACCACCCNGGAAGGAAGGAAGGAAGGAAGGAAGGAAGGAAGGAAGGAAGGAAGGAAGGAAGGAAGGAAGGAAGGAAGGAAGGAAGGAAGGAAGGAAGGAAGGAAATGGGAATGAGAAGGAAGGAGGGAGGGAGGGAGGGAGGGAGGGAAAAAGGAAGGAAGGAAACCCCTCCCCCACGGTAACCACAATGCTAATGCGGGCCTCAATGAAATTGAGTTTGACACCTCTAATATAAAAGGTTAAGTGAATCTGGTTTCCCCATTGGCTTGTCAAAAGGTTGCAAAAAGGGATCACATGACCTAGAGACACTGCAGCCATCATAAATATGAATCAGTTGCCAAGCATCCGAATGTAAATCACATGACCCTGGAAATGCTGAAACATTTGTGTGAAAAATGGTCATAAGTCACTTTTTTCAGTGCCGTTGTAACTTCAAACAGCCACTAACCGAACTGTTGTAAGTCGAGGAGTACCTGTACTTTATCGCTTTTTTCCTTTTTGTGTGTGTGCCATATCCTAAAAGTGGTACAATGGGTGAAAAGGTTGAAAAGCCCTGTTTTATGCTGTCTGACAATGTCCAAAAGATAAAGCTTCTACAATACATTGTTCAGATAAGACAATGCCCCTTTATTGTGCTTCAACTATACAAAACTAGCTTTGTAACTTAGCTTATTTACTGTTAAATGTATAACCCACCTTTATTTTGTACAACTCAAGATAGTATACATAATGTTCATGCCTCACAACAACAACAGTGTTAGGCTATTGGGCTGAGAGAGTGATTGGCATGAAGTCATCCAGCTAGCTTTTATGCCTAAGGGAGCACCAACAATCACAATCTCCCAGTTTCTAATCCAGCATTCTAACCACTACATCAAACTGGCTTTCCTTACATTTATCATATCCAGTGCAGGATATCAGATCTTTTAAATGCCTTATGTTCATATTTGCTATTCATCCATATAAATCAGGAAAGTAAAAATACTAAAAAGCAATAGTCTTCCGTTTCCACTTTCCACCACTGAACTCACCTCATTCTGAAGCTTCCTCTGTCTTCCCTGTAATCAGAACGTGTTTGTGGCCTGGATATACCACTTCCACTAACAACCCCTGCCCAGTACTCAGCATCACCACTCTTGTCTCCTGAAGGAGGAAGTGCTTTCCTGCACACCTGACGGTAAGACTGGCGGAAGTTGGCACCCCCATCATGTAAAGAACTGAGCTCTGAGATGGTGTTACTGTCTGGAATGAAAGATAGTAGTTATTGGGAAACTGTTAGAGAAGATAAAATTTTTGAGATGCTCATACCACCC